CACACACACACACACACACACACACACACACACACACACACACACACTTAGTTCTGTTATAAATCCCAATCTGACCACTTATGCAGAACCACTCTACCATGCCAGTGTGCAGCATGCTTCCACACAGCAGCGCAGGGAAGAGAGCAGGTGCAAAACCTTTATACGTGTGCGTGCACGTGTGCATGGACAGCATTAAGAGGCTTCGGTTGTACTGTACTGTGCACACACAATCACATAGTGGTGATGATTGGGCTCTTGTCATGCTCTGTAGGTTTTCTGTAGGTGAGGATCTCCTGTCAATCACAGAGGGATAGAGGCCAGCCAAGGGTAGAGAGGAGAGGAGTTAGAAAGAGAGAGGGGGGGGGGGGGGGGGGGGGGGGGGGAGGGGAGGAGGGGGGGGGGTCTGCTTACCTGAAGTCATCAATCTGCACCAGAAATCGAACAATGTCAAAATGTCCTTTCAGCACCTGCAGCTCAGTGAACCAGTTTTTGGGCTGTTCCTCTCCGATGCACAACACGGAGCTTTTCTGCAGACATAAGAGGGAAAGTAGTGAGACAAACAGGCTGAGGTGCAGAGGTTGACAGTGGACTCTGAGAGGAGCAGGCTGTGGTGGAAAGTACATTCACTCAAGTGTTGTGCTGCTACAATTTCAAGAGACTTGTTCTTTATTTAAGTATTTCCATTTTCTGCTATTTTATACTCGTACAGATTTCAGAGGGAATTATTGTACTTTTTACTGTCCTTCACTTATATGACAGCATAAAACAATTTAAGCTTATTCAATTCATACGTGCTTCAGATGTCGATGAGGTTTTAACAGTTTCACCGACGAGTCATTTCCCCTCTAAACTTCTCAAATGATGTTTTTTTTGGAGGACCACAGATGTATATTATCCAATATTTCAAACAAAAAAACGAAGATTAAAGAAAAGTCGGAGGAATTAATAGCAATTTGTGTATCAGAACTCTCTGTTGTATTACGATATTAATCATCTCACGACCCCTCAGATTTAGCTTGTATATAAAGTTGTTAAAATTGTCTCAACCTCCCAAAAAAAAAGACTACAAACAACGAACACGATTAACTAAATTCACTAAATCAGCAGACAATAAACATGACATTTTTAAAAAGTTATGAGAAAAAGATTGATACATAATCAAGAACGAATTAGACAGGATGAATTAATGTGATGATTCATTTTTCAGAATAAAACGAGCTCTTGATAACATACTTTGGCATCCCAGACCAGAGTACTTGTGTTGTTGTACAAGTACTTTTACAAAACGAAGATGGAGACGATCAACTTGCCTGATATTACGAGAATCAGAAATACATTCAAAGAAGTTGCTGAAAGATGAAAGGAGGTGAATATATTTATGCATAAACTTACAAATCTGATGATAATTTATATGAAAGAAAGTCATGTTGAGCCTCTTTTGAAGTTGACAGATTGAATGAAGACATTTCACTTGAAAAAGTATTTATACCACAATTTATAATTACAATTAAAAGTCCTACAAAGTTTAATTTAAGTATCAAAGTACTCACTATGCAACATTATTACCAGCATTGTAACATTGTAGCCAGCTGCAGTAAAGCTACGTTTATTTCAAATGTCATAATAATGTTGTTGTTTTTATTCACTTTATAACAATATCTCGAGTTTTATCTGCTCTCTGCTGACTTACTACAGAGCACATACATGTAGAGGAGTAAATAGTAAAGTATTGTAGCAGGGTTGAATAATAATAATAATAATAATAATAATAATAATAATAATAATAATAATAATAATAAAGTAACATCAAATTGAAATACTCGAGTAAAGTAACGTTACTTGAGTAAATATACTTAGTTACTTCCCACCACCTGTCGCCAATCTTACGAAGCTGTTCTTGCAGTAATACATACAATATTACAACACATAAAAGAGAGATAAATAATGGAATAATATAATATAAACAAGACACGTGATGAAACAGCTAGCATACATTAGCTTTAGGTAACGTTAGCCGCCCTTACCTCCACTGAACCCTGAGCTTCTCGACCACCTAGAATCCACCGAAGCATCGTTTATTATCGGTTAACGTCAGACGGTATAAGAGACGTGAAGCCCCGTCGTTATGTTGAGCGGATAATGTCCCCAAAATGTAACGTTAATGCAGCAGTACGTGAGCTAGCTTCATGTTTATGGTATCACGACCACAACAACTCACTCATGTGACTCAAACTACGGAAGCTTTGGTTGGACGAAATTCATTCAGGCCGATTAAAATTTGGACTGCTGTACCAAAACATTTTATTTATAGATATTTATTTATCCTGTTTAGATAACACTCCAGACTTGCTTTAACATATATTTAAAAAGAAATACAATACAATATATTTTGAAAAATACTTTGTTTTGAATGATATTATTTTTTTATACAAAAATCTTTTTTTATCAATAAAAAATCAATCAATAAAAGTAAAAAATAAACAATGAAAAAGTTGTATCAGTATAATTAAGCAAACTCAAATCTTCAATACAAAATAAAATAAAAACTTAAAATCTTCTTTTTACAAATCTTGAACATAATTATAATTAATAATATGAAAAGACAAAAAGATAAACTGAAATGTCATTTAATTTCAGTGGTTATAAGTTAATTCAGTCACTGAACTCAGGGCACTGTCCATCTCAATCATATTACAAGATACGACTTGAGGGAATGAAGAAGCGTCTTGGAATTTAGCCTAATTTTGGGGGAAACCATCAAAATGGTACAAAAAGTAGCTAAAATTATTACAACACACCCAAAAGTCTATTATCTGTTGAGTGCACGGAGGGATTCAAGTTTCTACATCATACTTGTATAAATTACATATTGATTGAACCACAATTAGTTATAACAATCCTGCCAATACAGTCACAGATATAAGGAGAGCACAGATAAACTCTTTAGCGGATGAGCGTGAAACAGTCTTCTTGTCTAAAACATTCTTCATTCTGCACAGAGAAACTCAAACGTCCAAGAGAAATAACAAGAACTGTTTTGAGGTGTCATTCTCCTTTAAACAACTAGATGGCAGTGTATAACAATCCCATGAGAACAGAGCAAGGTTCAATCCTCCTTTAGACAGAAAAAACAAGTATTTTTTGCTAAATTGCTCCCTTTTCATTTATCTAAATTATACGTCTAATTCCTGAAAGACAAAATCAAATCATTTGATTCTGTTGTATGATTTCAAAACACTCTCTGCAGTTGTTCTTACTTCTCCTTTTTTCTCTCTCCTCCATCCCGTGACTTCTGCATTAATGTTGACCTGCTCTCCCTCCATATCTTCCTCCTCCTCCTCCTCCTCCTCCTCTTGGTGTCTCCCCTGTTAACACACATACACACACACACACACAGTCACACACACCACCCCTAGCTGTGTCTACTCCTGCTCCCACGATTGAGACGACGTGCAGTGTAGGGCCTGTGACCTTCATGGTGGCTCAGATCTGCGGCTGGCACTGATTTCTGATTTAGTGTCGATCCGCCGCGCTTGTCAGGGGCTGCGAGGTGCTTTCCATGCGGTAATAGAAAAGCTCAAGGGCAGCTAGAGAAAGGAGGAGGGGATTGGTTGAGGTGGAGGGAATGGGTTTTTTTTAGATTTGGGGATGGTGTGATGCTCTGTTTGTTTAACTGTCTGTTAGACATCTGAATGAAGAGGTCAAATATGTAGACTCCAGAGATGTGAATCAGTATATAATTAATGCAAAAGATGAGAAAGAATGTGATCCAGGCTGTACTTATAGATGCACAATGATGCTTTTAGCTGAATGTTGATGTCGGCATGAGAACATGCTCATAAAAAGATGGCTAACATGCAGATTTTAAGCTTGTTTACCATGTTCAACATCTTAGTTTATTATCGTCCTGACATTTACTACTTAGCACTAAACACAAAGTAACGGTGAATATCATTAGTTTTGCAGGTAATTATGCATCAGTCCATCCAATAGATGTTGAGATATTTCACAGAATAAGTGAAGAATATGACCTGTTGGTGGCGCTAGAGGAAAAGTCAAGGAATCACCAAAGACATTAGGATTCATCCTCTGGGGACAATGAATGTTTGTACCAAATTTTATTGTAATCCATCGAACAGTTGTTGAAGAATTCAGGACCAAACTGAACAACTGACCCACTACAAGGCCAACATTGCCACGAGCAGCTTAAAAAAAGGAAATGAGGTGGGAAAAGTAAAATGTAGCCACATTATAGGGTGAAGATGAGAGAAAAGATAAACACCAGGCGAGCACAGACAGGGAAGCATTCAGGAGTTCACTGAGAACAAATGGGAGGAAAAAGTAAGTGGATCTTGAGTGCAGCGGCTCGGCCCGGTGCAGACGAGGTGTCAAATATGACCAATGGCAGGAATCAGCTAAGAGGTGAAGTCATGATGCGATGGCCACCAAAACACTCCAAGCACTAAAGATCAGAGTCAGGGCAAAAAAAACAAAAGTCTGCCTGCTCCCTCTTCCCTCCTGATATCCCCGTTCTCCACACTGTAAGGAAAACAAATGGTTATTATGATGGAAAAGGAATTAAGCTGTAATTTAACAACGGGCCAACAACATTATTCGATAACGGGCTTCCCTCCCTCCCTCGCTGTTTGGAGGGGTCGTGTAGAAGAGAGTCTGATACTTGACCAACACACTTCACTGTCCCTCTTCATCAGGCTTTCACTGTGTCCTGCTTTACCTGGCGAGGTCTCGTGGCTCACGAGAGATCTGCACTCAGGCCTCAACACGCAGGGAAGCATCAGAAGTCCACAGCTTAATAATTCATGTTTCTTTTTTGTACCAATATTGCCCTACTTTCCTATCCTAATATTATTAATTCCACAAATAAATCTTCAAAATCAAGTCACAAATACCAGGTTTCTTTCTCAGGTCTAAAAATAAATTCTAAAGCATCTGAACACTGTAGTTTTAGCAAAGGTCACTCAAACTGGAGTAAATAGAGCATTTGTTGAGGACTATTTTCTGCCGTGGATTGATACACATTTGATGTATTTGTGAGTATTTAGGACATTGTATGTATGAATGAATGTTTTGACTACACGGATAATCTATGCGTCCCATTACCAATACTATCATACTACTTAGTATGCCAGAGAAGGATTCAGTACGTCCCAATACATAGTACGCCAAATGCAGTATGCCGAAAAGTACCAGGGTGTACTGAATTTGGTCGCAGCATGCTTTTCTGACCCGCAATCATTTGTGCCGCAGATAGATCAGCTAAAAGGCAAAGTTCAAGATGCAATGTTATGAGGAAGTAGTGTGTACCAAATGTATGCATACTGCAGTTACCTATAGAAAAAGATTTGGAAGTCATGGAAACATTCTGGGGAGAAGTGGACATGCTTTTTCGGATTGTTTAGTCGTTGAAATGTAGTGAAAATCATTCGTACGCGGGCCCCATACTTCCTGATCCTGATGTTGGAAAGACACTGTTCTGACACGCCTTTTGTTTCAAGCATACTTAGACCCAAATGTCCCTCTGCAGAGCCGCTGTTTGGTTTGTCCTTTGTTGGCTACTGTAGAAACATGGCGGCCAGCTCCATGAAGAGGACCTGCTCCATATGTAGATATAAACGGCTCATTCTGAGCACACCAAAACACACAGATTCTTATTTTGAAGACTAAAGAAAACATAATTAATAAAATTATATTAAATTTCTGCCAATATACCTCTGTTTAGTAGAAAGTAGTTCCAGTGAAAACAATGTTTTTCTAACTGACCCTTTAAACCTGCATGGTGCCATAAGACCTAATTAAAACAAAGTGCATGTGGATCTGATTGGAATATATATGACACATAATCCAGAGGGTGATGGTCTGAAGATGACCAGAGAAGATGCCTGAGCGTATTCAAGCTTGTCACTTTGATTTGTCACATGAGTATGACTGTAATTGCTGTGTTTCAGTCATCATAGGTTAATTATCAGCCTTGACCTATTACACACACACACATGCAGACACGCGCTTTAGACGTGGGGGTGGAAGGATCGCTTTAGTACAACCCTAAAAAAAAGTTAGGAGGCCCACAAGCTCCGTAATGTAAAGCTGCCACTTCTCTTTTTACTCTGTATCATCTTCCTCGCTGTCTAACTGATCATCGCTGCCTGTCTCTCACCCCTTCCTCCCATCCCTCCCCTCCCTCCCTCATCTGGTGACCCGCTAATGTTCTGTTCATTTTCTCTTATGAATAGATAATGGGCAAAAATCAAATCTCTTCATTTGCATGTAATACAATTAAGACCTTTTCAAACGATGACAAATGGAGGGAGCAGCGAGATGTCAGTCAGCCTCGTCAGTGGGGGAGCGGAGACGGCGTCGGCGAGCCTACACTCCATTTTAACAGAAATTAATAAAAAAACCTTCAGATGGAATTTTCTCGCCGCCATCTGGCATAACAATCACCAAGACACTGCTGGAGTCTGCCTGTCAAATAAAATTAAAGTTCTCATGAATTTGGATTCACAACGTGGATGTGAAGCACAAACACCGAAAGAAAACCAAAGAAATAGACATTTTTCTACACATCAATAAAAAGAAATTAAATGTCTGTCTTTAAAGACAGACATTATAAAACAGGTAACGTTAGTGTTACTTAAAGGATAAGTATCTTTCAAAACAATGCTCTCATGTCCATCTGAAAGCTGCATTAAAACAGTTTGTTGTACTTTTTGTATCCCTGTATCTCCAAACCGCCCTGAAGAGATCCCTTTATGCTAAGCTAAGCTAACTGGCAGCTAGCTCTAGCTTCATTTTTAACGCTTGAGAGTGTTACAGCAAAATGGGCAATTTCCCCAAATTCTCAAGTTTCAAGTTATTTATTATCACATGCACAATAATTACAGAGAAGCAGTTGTTAACAATGGATCTCAAGCTCCCTCCAACAATGCTCAATATAATAGCATGAAAAGAAAACCATGCTAGTAGATACAGAAGCGCAGAAGTACAAATATAGGAATAAAATGTAAAATATTTGTGGGAGACTGAAATTGCAAAATGAATAAACTGAATGTAAACATAAATGTAGTAAATGTATATATGCGTAGAGAGAAGTAATAAATATATTATTCATAAAGGTAAAGTGACGTCATGGTAAATTAAAATGAATACAAACAATAAAATGATCAGTTATTCTTCTAAAGGAAGCACAGTTTTTGTCTAATATCAAAAGATGTCCTTGTTCTGTCCAAAATACATTTTTAAGTTCAGACTCACTTCCATTTGAAGTGAGTTTCTCCCAAAGTTTGAGGTTTTTCTGTACGAAGTTACCGCTAAGAATGGAAACACAAAACTTGATGTGACTCATTTTGACTGCTGAAGTCTCACATTAGCTCTTTTGAGACTGAATTTAAATCAATAGTTCAACATTTTGGGGATATGTGTTTATTTGCTTTCTTAGATGAGAAGACTGAAACCACCATCAATGTGTGTACGCTAATTACGAAGCTAAAGCCAGCAGACGATTAGCTTAGCTTAGCATAAGGACTGGAAAAGCCTTGCTCTGTCTAAAAGTGACAGAATTTGCCTATCAGCACATCTAAAGCTCATAATTAACACATTATAACTATTTTTACTCTGTATTGTTCTGTCAAGATGGTAAATAAGCATATTTCATTTTGTTAAGACAAACATGGACCCTTTAATTATTTAGATTTCTAATAAAGTAGCCTGATGCTTGTTCATAAATATAAATTAACATGATTTTATTCAGACTATTTTACAGAAATATAAATGTGAACAAAATAACCATATACACACACACACACACACATCGTCTCTCTCTCTCTCTCTCTCTCTCTCACACACACACACACACACACACACACGCATCGTCTCTCTCTCACACACACACACACAGGAAAATTAATGAGCTCTCATTCATAATCCCAGATAGAGAGAGCCATATTCACCCTTGGATGGTTTATTGACTGATTTCATTTATTTGTGTGGAATAAATAGGAGGTAAACATTGGCTCGCTCTCACATTTTTTCCGCGACACACTCGCTGCACAGCATTCTGGGAGAAATGATCCCACCAGCAGCAGGGTCACTGATTGGCTACCTCGTCAGTGTGTGACAAATTACCCAATGAGAAATAGGTTACCCATTTCCACAAACTAATTAACCTGTGTGATAGTGAAACAAATTATTACATTTATGTAATATTATTTCACATCTGTCGCTATGACTGCAATCTTTATCCGTGTGCCTCCCGGTCGCCTCGATCTCTTTCTCTCTGTGATTATAATCCAGACATCGTGGAAGCTCTGCACTTTTACTGAACATGAAGAGGGATTTATTTCAAAGGACTTAACATTGTTTCAGCACTTTAAATAAAAAATTAAAAAATAAATTGTTTTTTGTCAGTAACAGAAGGTTAACAAGCACCTAGAGAAGTAATTTCTAACATGGGGAGCAAGACCCCTTCCAGGGTCACAGGATTTATTAATTATAATTTTTTTGTACAATTATTTTTATTTAATTTCATGCTTTCCGCTGTTGCTTACGATCTAATTCCAACAAAAATATATATAGTTTTATGAATTGTGTTTATAATTTATGGCTCTCTGATCTCTGCTTGTTATTGTGAAACACAGTCTTACCTCTAAAACACATGTATCCACATGGAGCCAGTGGCAAAAATGTTTTTAAAGCACAATGAGGTGTGTAAACAAACCACTTCTTTAAAACATTGTTCATTGGTTAAAGGTTCAGTGTGTGGTATAGTAGCAAAAATTTAATTTATTATTAATAACTATGTTTTCAGTCGTGTATAATCACATGAAAATAAGAATGTGTGTTCATGAGCTTTGAATGAGCCGTTTATATCTACATACGTAGCCGGTCCTCTTCTGCCGGCCGCCATGTTTCTACGGTAGCCCAGAAAGGACAAACCAAGCACTGGCTCTAAAGAGGGACATTCACGTTTTCACGTCGGCCACCTTAGTTCTCCAACGGGTTTATTACGCGGGAGAAGTTTCAGTTGTTTGCAATCTGTAACTTCGCCACTAGATGTTGCCAAAATCATAAACAAAAACAAAATATGTCTTAAAGGTGACATACACATTAAACGTGTAGCATTGTTCTAAAGCATCCTTGTAATCATGCTGGGCAGTTTTTTAAGTATTAAAATCAATTCAGCTGGACCAGAGGTATCTATTTTATTCTACAGTCTTCTCCCTCGTCAAAACCTGGTGCCTACATTACCCACGATGCAACTCAACAGCCAGAAGTCCTGTCTGAGATTCTGATGGGTTGTGCTAGCAGCGGCTAACGTAGCCCGGAGCCTCTGGCCTGCAGCAGAGATGAGCAGCGAGTTACGGAGGTCTCACTTCTTTCTAACTCAACAACACCAGATTTATTTATTTTTAATTAATTTCTGACTTGTAGTCTTCAGACCCAACCAATGCTGACAAGGGACAAAACAATGGAGCCAAAGTAGTTTGTAAAAGCTAATATATAAACTGTAGAAATGTCATCAAGAGCTTTGTCAAACATGGAGTTAAGTATTTAAAGCTCCTGAAGTTATCTCCTTTCAGGCTTTTGTATGAAGCAGGTTTGTGATTAATATTTTGTGTTTTCAGCTAAAAGATAATAGAATGAAGATCAGCACCTTTGGGTCCTCAGCTAATCTATCCGGTTGGTCCTCACTGCGATTGAGTTTGACACCTCTGATTCTGGCCTAAATAATTAATTGGGAATTGAGCCTTTTGTGTATGAGCTGCTCCTTGATGACCTATATTTTATTTTTTTTAATCACACTCCACTTAGAAAAGAAATGCATGATTGGATGTTGATCCGTTTATTTGTGCTGTATAGATCAGATCAGATCTGATTCTTTAAAAAGGTTAAAAAGGTTTGATTTCACAAAACGGCTTTCAGGAGCAAACACACGGAAACAAGCAGAGCAGAGGAGGAAGACGACTCTTTAATTAAATAACTAGTATTACTGTGTGAAAGTACTGCACTGCAAGTGAAAGTACTGCATTAAAATGATAATTGTAAAGTGCAGAAGTATTATCAGCAAAATGGACTTAAAGTATCAAAAGCTCTCGTGATGCAAATTTCAAAGTGGTCTTTCATATATTATAATATCTGATTATCATTTTATACATTAACATGTAAGCAGCATTTTAAAGCTGCAGCCGATTGATGTGCGGCTAATTAAGTTGAATCTTTAACAATGCATCTTGTATGCATACTTTATAAACTGCTCATATGTTTTTAAATGTAAAATAGAACTTTGCCAAGTAGAAGCTGACAGATAAAATGTGTCCAGGAGCAAAAAAGTACAGTATTTCCTTCAAAAGTATGAATTATTAAGTAGCATCCAAGTTGTTACTTAACCACAACTGCAGATGGTTTCGGATTAAAGCCTCGTCGCTCATGAACACAATCATTTTACTGCTCAAATGTCCCTTTATTAGTTTAATTTAGTTTATTTTGAGCTTTTTAAACGTATTTCCACCATCATGGCTGCAGAAGTCATCTTCATGTCTTCTCTGACTGATGATGACATCACTCATCGCATGATGTCACAGATTAAACCCGACATGATGAAGTGTTGCTTCAGGAATTCTGTGACCGTTAAAAGTTTAATAATCCGTTTTAAAAACCGTTTGGGTTTCTTTAGAGAAGTTAAAAACAGGACAAGTGGACCTTTTTCCCTTTTGGAGATACAAAAAAAGGAGGTTTGATTCATGATGTGACATAATTGAAAATGATTTTTATTTGATCATTTACATTTAATTGATATAAACATGTCCATGAAACAAAATGGTTCAAACATTTAAGAAAGTCATAATTTCATAATAAGCACATACTTTTTTTGGAAACAGAAGTTATCACAAACTGACCAAATGGGAACAAGAGTGCTTCCGCTACACAAAACATCCTATATAACAGATTATAGTGAAGTCAGCTTCCATGTCTTAATTTATAGTATTTCCCTTGTTTTGTATTTTTTTCGTTGCCTTGGACAGCACATGCAGTCAAGTCCTCTTCATGATGTCCTGTTCCAGGTGAATCTTTCTCGTTCCTTTAAACCTCCAGGTGTCTGCAGGTCCACTGTGCATCCCCCTTTAGAGGCGCGTGCTGTGCAGCACGTGGGGGGAAAAGGCATCATAACCGAGTTTTTGTATTTCAAAGTATCCCCAGAATTTGTCTTCAAAAAAATCAGTCACCAAGCAAAGTTCACTGAAAGCCTCGAGGGCCCGCATGAGCCGCATAAATAAATAAACACAGAACAAATAAGTTAATTTAAATAGATAAATAAATAGGTGCCATAGGCTACATGCGAAATAATAAATTATAGCTTAAAACAGAACCAGTCCGACAGGCCGGGTGAGCCGCTGCAGTGTTCCCTCTTGGTGTGATTTGGGGAGGAAATAAAACACCAGATGTGCTGTGCGTTTTCTTATCTGATCAAGTATCCTGGTTGTATCTCTCCCGGTGCGCCGTTTGGATGGATTGGACGAAGAAGAACTGAACGCAGAAGATCTCTGTGCGAGTGAAAGAAAAAAGCTCTCCGCGCGTGGCCCCTTCGTCACTAGGTGAAACTCATGGATACTGTGTGCTCCAGCGCTTTGCGGCGCAGCGACGCGATGCTTGTCCCTCTCCAGACCTCACTCTCCGGGGAGCTACACAGCTGAGGCGAGTGGGTCATGTTGGTCGGGCCTGACAGGGACGCCATCCCGGGGAAAGTGGGCTGGTAGAGGTGCGACTGGAGCCCGGAGCCGTTCGACATGTTGGACAGACCCATGGAGTTGTGCGGCTGACCGGCGCCGAGGCTGCACTGAGACAGGGACTGCGCCATGACCTGCTGGCGGCCCAGAGACGGCGGTAGCTGCAGCTGAGACACGCCGGGCATCCCCGCCGTGGCCCAGCGGGTGTCGTTGGCGTGGAAGGAGCAGAGGCTGTCGCCCATGGCCGCAGCCGCCGCCGCCGCGGACGGGAACTGAGACAGGCCGTGGTGCGTCGGCAGCAGGGTCCCCGGAGACCGGAAGACGTTGGTGGTCTTCTTGCGCTTCTTCCACTTGGCACGTCGGTTCTGAAACCAGACCTGCAGCGGGACAGAGACGATGATGAGTTATAGGAGCAGCGGACGTGATGGTGCATCTGCAGGTCATGTTGTCAGAGCCGAGTGCACATAAAAAAGGTTGTGACATCGGCCTGTGATCATCACGATGATGTGAACCAGCAGCGAATAAATCTGCTGCAGAAAAACACTGATTTATGTTCTTCTTTTCAGGATCTTATCAGCTCGTGACAACATGCCACCCATTTACATTGTTATCATTTATGTATAAAAGTCTCCAATTAATACAAATAAAGGCATAGCACGTGGGTAGACTCTGGAGGATTCAGACTTCAATATTCAGAAATATTTTGTAAATCATTTTTGCTTCAATAAATCGGCATTTCCATTTATAGTTGTATGTGTAATTATTTCGATTTTTCATAGATGTAGAAAGTATTTTTTGGTATTATTTTGGTACAAAATCCAACATTTTTAAAAACATAATTTGACACCAAATGACTGCTCTGTTTGGAGCCACTGAACACCACGCGCCCTCATGATACAGATACTGTTATTGCTGTGACAAACACACTTTTTCTTTCGTGGAGGTCCTTGAGCTCTCTGTACGTTTGGTTGTAAGCGCGCGCGGGGCGTCTATATATGATTAATGTGAAGATTTGCTTGAGAAAGTGGAGGCGCAGTAATAAGAACGGGACAATCTCACTCTCCCCCTCCTCCTCCCTCCTCCTCCCACCTCCTCTCTCCACGTAGCCAGCCGTGAAATCCGGCCTGAAATGCATTACACTTCAAGAGAAAGAAAACCCAATTTCTCATTCCGTTTAAAAGACAGAGTGCTCCCTCAGCGCGTGCGGCATTAAGACGTAGAAGATCCTGGACCTGCTTCTTATTCTCATCACAGCAGACGTGCGTCATTTCACTAATTCTTATTATATGGAAATATAAACCGAATCGACCCATGCAATAATAATAATAATAATGATTATTAGGCTTTTATTTCACATGTGAGCAGCTTCGAGTGCTGTAGTTAATAAGGCGGTGGCTCCATGAGCCCCAATGTGGTGGATGTTTTATCTGCAGACATAAGTCACTGAGGGCATCACCGAGGAACCCGCACAGTGACTCAGGTCCGGTTAAAAGGTTCATATCAGTGCAGAGTGGCTTTTATCTGAAGGCGATTTAAACGAGTGTAATTAAGATGTAATCATCATTTCCCCGTCGGTTCATTTTACATGAGACGGACGCAGAATGTGTATAAAGGGCCGATTCTGAATCAGGCAGAATAAAGTCACCAGGAATAAAAACACCTTTCTGTAAAACGAGCTGCTGCAGTTAAATATAATATAATATAATATAATAAGCATACGTTTTTTTATTATTATTCTTTTTTTGAAGAATACAATCTGGTGAAGTGAGAGGACGATGTGCTGTAACTAAACTTACTTATACTAATAACGCATGGTGTGTGTGTCTGTGTGTGTGTGTGTTAATCCGCAGGTTTGAATCTCAAGTCCAGACACGGTCACTGCCCTTGGGCAAGGCACTCAACCCGCACAACACACACACACACACACACACGCACACACACACACCGATACACTTTATTTCTTATTGGCTCACTTATAAAAGTTCAACGTAATAACAAACAAAATAAAATGAAAATTCTGCTGTTATACTTTTGTTTTTTGATGTTTTTTTCTATAAAATAAAGTAAAATGATGTAATGAAAATGTGTATTTGTATTTTAATAGTTGTGTTTTATGTTGTAGATTATTATTTCAGTGTAACCGGAAGCTATAGACGATGAATAAACTTCAAGTTGTTTATTTGTGCTGAACTGAAATAACTTATAATAAGACATCAGATGCTATTTTAGGCTACTTACATTTTTTTTATTATTTTTAGATTCTCCAGTAATAAAATCCAAACACCGACGGCTGAAATCAGAACATTTAACTCTACATCCAAGGGGGGAAAAATAATGGCAATTTTTTTAAAGTAAATTTACTTTGATTATTTATGAGAAATTAATCATTTTGTATGGTTTTAAATGTGCAAAGTCATTAAATACAAATGTTCAATAAGATAACACAACAAGACACAAATAAAGAATAAAAAGCTGCTTTTATGAGGGATTTGATTTCTATATTTATTACAACAAAGAAGGTTTTTATTTTGTCCGAATTTTTGAGTTTTTAATTATTTTTTTTATTCATACGCGGATTTATTCGGACCTCAGCTGTGGCTCGTGTATTGGATGCTGCTTTAGATTATTATATCTTTATCAAACGGAACACGAGTCCCTGTGATTTCCTCTCATCCACCGCTGATTAAACAGGATCCAGCCCTCCGTACCTGCACTCTGGACTCCGTGAGACCGACCCTCAGCGCCAGCTCCTCCCGCATGAAGATGTCTGGGTAGTGCGTTTTGGCGAAGCTCCTCTCCAGCTCGTTGAGCTGCGCCGGCGTGAAGCGGGTCCGGTGCCGCTTCTGTTTCTGACTCTGGCTCTGGCTCTGCTGCCCTCCTCCAGACTGGTTGTTGTTGTTGTTGTTGTTCTGCTTCTCCTGCTCTTTGCTGTTGACCTGCACCGCGTTGGATCCTCCGCCACTACCGCCGCCGCTGCTGATATCATCGCCCGGGAGCATCGTGGTCCCTTCCACGCCGTCCTGGCCCGGGCCGAGCTCCCCACCGGAGTGTCCGGGGTCAGGGCCCCCTCCGCCGAGCCGGCACTTCAGAGCCTCCCTGTGGCCCAGGAGCTCCGCCGCGGCATCCTTCATCCCTGCACGAGACAAAACCACAGCGCGTGAGATTTTTGAATAGTGAACACTTTTTGCTGGGAGGGAAAAAGGGACACATGGTTAAGCAAATACTTCTCATGCAAAACATTATTTTTGCTGCAGTAGAAAAAAGATGCACATCATGCATTAAAGCAGATTTAAAACACAGATATAGAAATATTAAAAACACAATCAACGCGTGCAGCTCTTAGAGAGACAACTACAGCATGCACATTACAATCTGCTCCTTAAATACTCTTAATTCAATTCGATCACACCGATATCTTAGGAAATTGTTAAATCAAATTACGCGGTAATATAATAATAATAATTACTTTTCCAATGAATTAAGCGAGTTTAGCTCACTTCGGTCGCATTAAGAGGAAATAGGAAGCAAATTGACAACATTCAGAGCTTGATTTAGGATTAGAAGTGCCTCCAGCTTACAGTAGAGTTGAAGACCGGAGTTTGGTGATGATAACTCACCGAGGCGAGCATCCAGGAGGTCGGCATGAGATAGCATTGCGCACCGCTCGAGGGCGAAGTGCTATTCCCAACAAAAAAAATATCTCTATGACTTTAACCTATTTAAGAAATATATATAGACTAAATGAAAGCAAATTCGGTTTGTGGTTAAAAGGGAGGTTCGTTGCATTATAATGTAGTTTAGAGAAATGGGGAGGCGCTTAACAACGGAATGAACCCATGAGCTTCTCCAAACGAGGACCAATCAGAGCTGAAGCCTGAGGTATGTCAGCTTTAGCCCGAGACCCCCAGCCGCCCCCCCCCCCCCCCCCTCCATCCTCCTCCTCCTCCTCCATCCTCTCACATCCACAAGTTCATTCCTCCTCATTCCTGTAATTGGCTTTGATTTCTCCTCCAAATTACATCCAATAAAATAACCTGATTTAATATGTGTGAGAGCTTTCGACCCGTTCAAGAAATGTTGGATCGCCACAATATTTGTTTAATTGTGCATGCTGCTCTGTGTTGTTTTGTTAGAATATGGGAGTTTATTCATATATGAGGAGGGAGCACATGGCTGCATTAACAGATGCAAACTTCTATAATGTGAAGCTTCTTCCTCTTTTTTTAGTCTCCATGATGCTATTGTCGACCTCTTTAAAGACACTAAATGCCTCTTGGAGACCAAGTGAACCTCCTCTAATATGATTTCCCAGTCAGCCAAATAACAAACTTTGTACAATTCTAACCAGGCTCTCATTTTCAAGGCCATTAGGCTTTTATGTAATTAGCGCGGATCTATAGGCCTTTATTCCACATATCGGATCAGTATAAATTAGCGGTGATTTACTAGTATTTAGGCCCAACTGTCATGAAGGGAGGGACTTGGTTCAAATGATGTGTGAGCGAATTAATTCGAAGGGAAAGTGGAGGGAGTTCAACATGAAAGGGACACAGTTAAAACACCAGCATTTGCAACACGCGGAGGAGGCCTTTAAATCTAAATGATTTATTCTCAATGAGAGAAACAGAAGTAAGGAGCTCCCTTTATCTCTGAATAAACCGCCATTAGACTCAATTAGCACAAACACACACACACACACCAGTCCGCCTTAATATTTAAGGACTAAACTAAATCGGACACGCTTCAGACAGATGTCGGGACGTTTGTGTGAGCGAGCAGCTTTTTTTAATTTATTATGTGCTGGAAAAAAAAAGAAGTGGCACAAAGGAGGCGTCCGAGCGTGAACCCGCGTCTTCTTCATCCATCCAGGCTTCTAACGCCTCTCCGCTCGTCTTTTATTTGTCTGCAATCTGGTGGCACGAGGGGACAGACCGGGAGGGACGGATGGAGCGCGAGCCGTGTGCGGGGAAGTCTCCTCTCGGACGCATCGGAGTGTCTTTGCGCAGATTGTCTGCGTCTATTCTTCCGAGGAGGAGAAGAAGATGTGGAGATATTTATTGTCCTCTCTCTCTATTTTTTTTTTTAGAAGCTGGAATTTAAGGTAGATTTAAGGCTGGAAATAAGCGTCGTTATTTAAAGATATTCTGTATTTCTTAGGACATATTAACGTATTCATTTCACACAATTATAAATAAATTGTCTTGTGTTATTCGTGTTAATAATTAGGTGCAAAATGTAGCGCTTATTCTCGCAGCAGCAGCTTTTGTTGGTGCGCTGAAAGCCTATACATGTTCGTTTAAAGTCATCACATTGCGGGATGATGGACTGCGCGCTTCACTTTACGACTCTCCGACAGCTCAGCGCTTTTATGGCTGTACAAACAGAAGTGAATGAGTCCTCTCGTGGCAGCAGGTCATATTTAACCCCAAAACAGCGAGACAGAGAGGGAGAGAGAGAGGGACGAGATGTCAGGAGGCGCAAGATATTTGTACTGGGCCAAAAAAAAAGGAATAATAAATATGATCTTGTCTGGTTTTGTTTAATATTTCGTTTATTATTTACAAGCCGAGGAAAAAGCTGCACTATAATTATTTTTTAATGTAGAATAAGTGTTTTCCCCCCAAAATAAACATGTTTTTGCTTGCTGCTGCCTGTAAAATAATTTATTTTGTTTTGTATAGATTGAATCCTGCAGTATTTCATGCTTTATTTGGAAAACGTGAATAACAAAACAATTTATTCAATGCATTAGAGACTTAAACACAAGTTTGTATAGTTATTTTTGTAATATGACCCAATTTGGAAGTTAGATGCAATGCATTTAGTTCAACTAATTCAGAGGCATCATTTCACTTAATAGTGTCAATAGAGTGTGTGTGTGTGTGTGTATGTGTGTGTGTGTGTGTGTGTGTTGAAGGTCCTGGTTTTGCTGACTTGATAAGGCCGTAATTAGAGTAAACAAGGAGCACAGCGCAGTTCGCTACATCTCTCCACTAACGCGCTGACATCCATCTCATCCATGACATAAATAAAAATAGACAAACAAATTCGCCCCATGCAAGTTAATGCGGTGCATCTGTGCGGAAAGTAGACGCTTTCACGCGCTGTGGAGATGAGGAGTGACTTTTAATAAAGAAAAAACAACAACATACGAGTGTGACACTGTAAAGTGAATGGTGCATCAAGGTTGAAGCCTCTGAGGCAGTTTGTTTTACCTCCAGATCCATGTGTGTGACTGTCGCAGTTTGGTACCAGGCGGGGCTCGAACTTCTGACCTCTTGGTTTACATGTATAGCCTCTCCACACCACGAGGCCTTAGTGATTTCTGTTCTCTCTCCTTTCCTCCCCTCTGATCGGCCTTTGCAGTCTGTATTCACTCAATTAGAGATTTCTAAGGAGAAAAACAATCGATCTTCAATCTGCACGAGCCCCAGTTTAACAAATGAGATTCTTGTTTCATGGGGCCGGTGTGGTGACAGTCATGGAGGGATTATATGGAGGAGCAGCCTAATAACTTACCGTGTTGAAGAGGGAAAGGGAGCAGCTGATGCCGCAGCCGCAGCGGGGGCTGCTCCCGCAACCAGAAGATATAAAGTTTGACATGGACCAACTTTAGCGGTAGAAAAGAAGGACGATGTGCGGTAAAAACGCATCTGTCCGTTTCTGTGCCGCTTCCGCGTCTGGAGGCGGCAACGCACCGCTTCCACGTCATAAATAAGGACTCGTGTAGGCAATATCCCCTAAAGTTAAAGCCTATTTTTTATATCAATAAACTCTTAACATATTATCCATAATCTATAGATCCTAATATTAGATTATTACACTTATGCATTCTAATTTTAACCTTTTTTAAGGCCTAAAGTTAAATTTTCTTAATTTTAATCATTTCATATGCTCAATATAAGATATTGAAATACTTTTCTTCAAAGTAGCCTTTTAATAGGCGTATTATTTAACTATTTTCTACTGGATTGTGGCATAAAAGTGCCATAAAATGACTTAAGTAAAGCCTGATATACCTCACAATTATTTGAGCAAATGCAGGCCCATACTTGTGCTACATCCTCTCACATTATCAGATTGGAAATGTCAGGTCAGCTTGCTCAGAGGTTATATATACAGATCAAATCCTTCATTTAGTGCCAATTGTAGAAAGCCTACAGTTGGTTTCTCTGATAATTCACAGCAGACGAGTCAAATGATCTCACAGCAGAGAGGTTGAAGCAGCTAGTTCTGTTTTTATAGCAGCAGCCCCAATAAATGAGCTAATGAGTGAGTAATAGTTACTTAATGCAAGGAGAATTTTGAAGTACTGGCACTTGAGTGTTTCCTTTGTTGTGCTTTTTATAGTCCACTACATTTCAGATTAAGACAATTGTGCTTTTAATATTCATTTATCCGACACATATAGAGACTCAGACCTTATAGAAACATCAGTTTATGAAATAAGATGCACTTCACTTTCCTCCAATTAAACATTAAAATGCTGCTTTTAAATTCACACATTAGTAGCCAATAAAAATCTAATTACATAATAAATATAACTCCCTGAAAAGAGACCACTCCGCTGCCTCATGAGTGCTGTTATTTTGGCAGTTTAAGTTACATTTAACTGATGATACTTTTACATAAGGAAATGCAGGAGCGGTATACATCATCTCCTGCTGCTTCTACTTCAGTGTCGGATGTGAAAACTTGTTACCCAGCAGCCTCTACGTGTTCAGAGCAGTCAGCAGCCTGCACGGGGTCCTCTGGTCACATAAACCCAGATGTAGCGCCCCGCCGCCGCATCTCATGCCTCAATTAGCGGCGCTGCCCCCCCTGCATGGACTCGATTAGGCCGTGATTTATCCGAAAGAAATATAATTATACCTCCAAATAAAATAATCAGCATTGAAGAGCGATTTCCTTAACGACACGGAGCGGGGTGGATGTCACGGAGTAGCAGCGCCTCATTAGGGCGGTAATGAGGCTTTGGGGGTGATCCCAATAATTATCGAAATCTGTAAAATAAGGATCAAGTCAAATGTAACCTTAATTTGTCTGGCAATTGAGTTCGTTTATCAGTATGACTATTTAGGAAGGACTCTCAGCGTTTAATGCAAGGTGTCGTTATTTTAGGCCATTTGCAGAACAGATGTAACGGTTAATGTTTTATTATTCACGGACATAACCGACATTTGTCTTTTAAACTGACAAAAAAACAACTCTGTACTGCAGGCTTCCATTCCACTGCTCTCTACAAGACTGAAATAAATCCATCAGTTAGGAGCTGAAACCATCAGTTTATTCACCAGTTATAGAGCGGAAGAAAATTACATTCCAACAATTTTGACAATTGATCAAAAAAAAAAAAAAAAAGAAACATTCATTGTTTTAAGTTCCTCAAATATGATTATTTTCTGTTTCTTTCACTGTAAGTTGAATATATTTGTGTTTTGCACACACAAGTTGTTCATGACATTTCAAGAACGATTAATCGAAAGAATGAAAATATTCGCTACTTGCAGCTTTGGTCAGTATTCTGGGATGCATCGTCAGCTAAGGTTAGAGCCAATAAACGCCCTGCAGGCGTAAGCGGCTCTTTACATACAAAAAGGAATCATTCTGAAAGGTATTACGGTAAACATGGATAACTACAGTTTTCTTTTTCCTGTTTACATCATTCAGTGTAAAGCCTTCCCTCTTCAAATCAATCCAGCAGTGGACCCACAGTGGTTATAATTGCAGAAAAGACAAACATGCGTGTGTGTGTTTAATTATGTCTTTTAAAGTCCAGATTGTGTTTCAGTGTGACGAACAGAAAGAGAAACCCTCCTCTGTGATAAACCGAGTGTTTCATCGAGTGTGATCACACGTTAGCGATAAACAGTAGAAAATAATCACATCAACAACGGAGACTCTGGGCGGATTCAGTTCGCCCTCAACGGTCTCCAAGCGGGTCCGACGAAAGGAATGAACATTAAAGAAGCGAGTGAATCTCACAGTGAGAACAGAAACAGATCAGAAATCATCCTTCAAGCTTCACCGAGTCCAATATGTTTCGAGCCTCTTTGTACTCCTCTGATTCGCTCAAATCCTCTTCTGTTTCCTGGAAGGACACAAACACACTTAGTTTCATTGCCATCTCCTACACACAAAAGTGAGGAATTACGGCTACTTAATTAATCCGCAATTCTCCTCAACTTCTTTTTGAACGAAAAGTGTCGATGTCGTCATAAAACAAAGTTAAAGCCAGAGGTCACATTTCAGTCAGTGTCACGTAAGTGAGATTTACGGTACGAGTCCATGCCCTCAGTGTGAGAGAGAGAGAGTGAGCGCGACAGAGTGAGCGAGTGAGTGTGAGAGTGTGAGAGTGAGTTCCTGCGGTGGTCACCCAAAGTGACAGCGCTGCTGATGAGCATGTGCATGTCTGTCTGAAAGGGAAGAAGGAAGTGAGGAGTGATAAGGTTTCGCTCCCTCTGCCCTCATGTGAGTGACTCACACCAGCAGCATTAATTGAGATGACCCTGAGACTCGCATGCTTATGTTTGCTTCTCACCACATCAACTGAAGTCCTGAAGGGATTAGACGCACGCTGGGCACGCTTACACTGAAATACTGTTAATTGGTGTAACGTGTGATACTTGGAGCAGTTCATTGAAATCACACACAACCCCCCCCCCCCCCTCTGTGGTATGGCCTAACATTTATATCATGGCATAATTTTGAAGCACGGACGGTAACGTTAGCAGCACCGTTGGTTCTGTTCAGTCAAATATTGAGCAAAGCCCACGTTCTCCTACTTACAAATGAGCCATGAGGACCAGCTTGGTTCCAGATCAGATTCAGTTACTCTCAGATATACAACAGAAACTAAAAGGACTAAAAAAGGTACACTGCTCGATGGCAGGGAAAGGAACCCATTTTTGTGTTAAGCTACGCTATTTTTCTTTCTGATAAATAGATTGTTATTGTTGTCGTGTGTCTCTTATCATCTCACACCATGTATTTTCAACAAGGCCGTAAATTAGTTACAGTAACAGCAACAAAATAAATAGATTGAGAGTCTCATCAATACACATTTGTCCTGTTGGGAGGTTTACTTACTAATAACTGAAACAGATCCCCGTGGGCTGCGGTCAGACGTCGGTGGCAGTCTGGGACCATCATGTGGGACTCCTGCAAAACCTCGATCTGAAACCACACAAGAGACCACATCAGTGCCGTCACCATGTGCAGAAATTAGACTTTATACACATCAGTGAACAAGTAAAGAACATTAATCTAAACAGCTAGAAACAGGCATATTCATTGGCTGCATTTCGTTGTATTCCTGGCACTAACATGCAGGGTGTCCCGCACGCACTGCGCTGCGGTTTAACACCTCCAAACAAGCCGGCGGTATGAAATATGGTATTGAGTTATCGACCACCTCGATTCTGACTGACACACCTGGATAAATGAAGAAGCCCCCCCGAGCCGAGGGCGCTGTGATCAGGCGTAAAGCGGTATTACTACGCCTGGAGTGAAACTGTGGGGGAACTTTCACAGCCGCGGCTGGCCCCCTAAAGAGCAGAGAGGAGCTGGCTAACGCTGTCAGACACACTGACTCGCTGACAGACGCTTCCTCACAGAGCCCCCTCTGTCGAGTCACAACACGGACGCAGTTACACACGTGCACATTACACGGACGTGCACACCAACGGGCGGTCGGGTGAACTCGTACGCAGAATAACTGACACGCCGAAAGACAACTAGTGGAGCCGGTTGGCCGTCTCGATATGACAAGGTGAGTGCTGAAACAGAGAAAAGTCACGGTGCCCTCCCAGTGCAGTGGAATGATCCCATCAGCGCTGGATAAAGATGACACTTACAGCGTATTGATTCCATTAAAATAAAAACCTCTAATCCATCCTGCCTCAGACCTCTCATCTCCAACCATAATCCATCTGGCCTCCCAATCTCTCCCATTTAACGCCAGCCAAGCCTGCTGCTCAGCCCGAGCCGCCGCTCTGTGAATGAACAAAAACACACACGGAATTCTAATGCTATACCAGTAAAGAAAAAAAAAAAAATGATCAGAAGCGCTGCCTGCCGGCTCTGCGGTTCCAGCCCTGCCAGGAACATCTAGAAGGGAAAAATCCGAAATCAACCGGGACCCATAAAGCTATAAATGCTAACGACGGCATGCTAACACTACTTACAATAACAATGCTAAATATTTAGTATGTACCAAAAATAGTATGTCAAGTGCAGCATGGCCAGCATGCCTTTTCTGGCTATTCAGACCCACAATCCTTTGTGACAGAAGCCGTGGACATATGAGCAAGCGGGTCAAAAAGTAGGCGATTTGGAACACACCCTAGTTTACCGTGTTAGCATGCTAACATTTCTTAATTAGCACTTCAAACAAAGTACAGCTGAGACTGACTTTGGCAGGTACAGTATTCACTCAAACAAAAGTATGATGGTGCTGGTTGAGAAGTAAGAGGATCACCAAAGTGGTTACAGTTCATCCTCAGGGGAACATGAACGTCGGAACCAAACTCCACGGCAATCCATCCCAACAGTTGTTGAGAAACGTCACTCAAAACCATAAATCTGGGAATTACCGAAGTCACCAGGATTCTTCCTCTGGAGACCATGACTGTCTGTACAAAGTTTCATGACAGTCCATCGCATAGTTGTGGAGATATTTCAGTCTGCACCAAAGTGATGGAGAGTGATTTACATCCCTGGAGCCACAACATGGCTGAAAATACTGTACGAAACGAGATTGTTTTCATTCTGTATTTCAGTTTTAAAGTTAGAAAAAGAAAACGTGTAAAAGTGTAAAAATGCTCCACGAACAGATAAAGTGTTTAAGATGCTATCAAGACTTAAAACAAGCTAGCAACGTAATGCACTCATAAATGATGGAGGGCTGCAGGCCCAGCGAGAGACAATGAGAGGAGGGTAGGGACACTAAATCACCAGCATGTCAGTAATTATCAAACTCCTCTAAAGTAACATGATATAATTACATCTGCATCAAGCAGATTACAAAATCACTAATGGTTCTCCTCTCAAAACCTAATTCTTCATTATCACCGTGGACCGACCTCATTACGCGAAAGAAGATAGAATTCACTTCCGAACTATAAGGGAGAGCAAAACCTCGTCACGTACTGGCTGAGAGCGCAGGAAAACTGTCCGTGATGAATGGAAAGATTTTTTTTGAATTAAGACACATAATTGTCGTACGGTAGTCGTGTAACGGGACCACTGTCGATCCGATGTGAACCGCGGATTAATTACACAGTTTAACGTTAATCATCACAGTGAAATAAAGTTTTACTGACGATCGTTATCCGCCGATATTTAGTAAAATATGCGATCTTTTCTTTTGTGCTGATCCGATCCGTGAGTTTTGTGATCCGTTGCGCCGCTATGGTACGTCTCAAAGAAGCCCAAACGTAGCCCCTTACGTACCTGCTTCTTGATGACATACGGGTCTCCTGCCTCCGCTTTCAGACGCTCCACCTTCTCCTCCTGCTGCTTCGCCTCGGTCTGGTACGAAACCTTCTCTTTGGCCAGCCTGCAGAAGACAGTTCTAGTAGTTAAAAGGCAGTGACACGGTAGCATGCGATGGTCACCTTTTCACAGACAGAGCCATCCATCTTTATTCTCTCCATCGGTGAGATCATCTCCCGCAGGGTGGCAAGATACACACCTCAATAACAACCAGTGAACACATCAGTCCTCCTCACTGCTGCTGCTACGCAGAGTACCGTAGTGTGTGTGTGTGTGTGTGTGTGTATATATATGTATATAT